GTCCTGGTCATTTCTGTTGCTCTGGCTGTGAGTGCCCAGAAGGGGAGGGCAGGGAGCCTGTGAAGGAGGCCATGCTGGGCTTCAGGCAGCAGCGCGGGTCAGGACGGAGGGCTAGCGATTGGCAGCTGCCTGCTGGGGTCTCCCTGGTACCCCTTCTGCCCACCCAGTCCACTGACATGGCACAGCACAGCCTCACCCCCAGGGTGCTCAACTCAGCCCAGCCCCACACACGCCTCCAGCTGCCAAGGGGGCTGGGGCCCCGGCCCCGCCGCTCTCCCGGTGCCCTTCCTCCGCACACCGTGCTCACCTCTGCCGGGTCCCAGGCTAAGTGGTCAGGTCAGGGCGAGGCGGCTCAGCACCTGGCCCAGCCAGGAGGCTGTCTCGCAGTTCTCCACCTGACCACCAGGCGGCTCCTCCCTCACGCCTGCCCCTGGGCTCTCCCATCCGGTCCGGCAGGACCCTGTCCATCCTCATCCGCTGCCCCCACCGTTCTCCCTCCACACTCCTGACGAGCCGTGCCACCAGGACTGATTCTGCCCCAAGGTGGGCTGTCAGTGGTCTTCTGCGTCAAGTCCTTTCCCCGTCCCAGTGACACCTGGACCAAAGTCTGGTGACGGGTGCAAGTCTGCGGGGGTGGAATGGGGGCCTGGGAGCACCCCCCACGCACACACACACACTGAGGACAGAGGCCAGCGTCTGGGCCAGAATGGGGCCTGGCTTTTCCGGGGAGGAGGCGACAAGGGAGTGGCTGGTCCTGGGCCTGGACCAGGCTTTCTGGCCGCCCAGCCCTGGTCCCGGGAGAGCCTGAGCTGTGAGAAGAGCCCCTTCCACTGGCCCCATGAGTCCCTGCTCTGCCCTCTGCTCCCAGTGTATTATCTGTCATAGATCCCAGAGGCTGGGGGCAGAGTGCGGGCAGCTCCTCCTGGGGGCAGGGTCCAGCTCCTGCCGCGCAGCCTGTCAGCCCCTGAGGGCCCGGCCTCACGGGTCGTCAGCGGAGGCCATGCTCTGCCCGGGTTCTCACTGCAAACTCGGCTCAGTGGGCAGAGGGCAGACGTGCTTTCTCACACCTGCTACCAAACACAGAAACCCATGGGCACAGACACACCCAGTCTCTCACACACACGAAGCTGGAGGGCCAGGTGGGGCTGGGCCAGGCCACAGAGCACAAGCTTGGGCTTCGTGCCCAGGCAGCCACAGAAACCCACCCTTCCATGTCCCATGGGCGCCTCCCAGCTGGCCCAGGAATGAAGCATGGGCTCCTTGCTCTGTCTCCGCTCGGCCTTTGACAGCCTGGCCTGGAGCTGCCCAGGCAGCTCTCAGATCTGCCAGTCGACTGTCGAGCTGGGGCCCAGCAGGCTAGGGTCCCCACTCTGCCCTATAAAGGCAGGACCAGCCCCGGGCCTGACTCAAAGCAAACGCCTGGTGCAGAGAGCCCGTGGCAGGAGGGCCCTCTGGCTGCGGAAGAGTCCTCCGGGAGGAGGTCCTGTCCCTCCTGTTCCTGGCAGGGCCAGGCCTAGCCCGCCCAGTCCAGCCCAGTTGGGCCCCCAAGTGGTGATGGGCTAGAGGGCTAGGCCTGGCTCCCCAGGCTGGGGGCGGTGAGGCTGCCTCCGCTGTGACCACGAGTAGGGCATGCGCAGGAGTCACGGCCTCTGGAGAGAGACTCATGGTTCTCCCAGGCCCTGTTGATTGTGGAGGGCCAGCACGACCCGGCCTGGACAGGAGCAGAGCAGAGCCAGGAGCTGGGCCTCCCACGAAGACCAGTGTCCACAGTGCATTTTCTCTACGACAGGCACCGCTCTGTGCATCTTGACTAACTCATCTAACCTTCACGACACCCCACAGAAAGGGACCATCATTTTATAGATGGCGAAACTGAGGCACAGAGAGGTCAGTGCCTCCCCAAGGTCACACAACTAGCAAACAAGGGGCCGGGATTTCACTCAGCCAGTCGGTTAGAGCCCATACGGTCACCATGCTTAATACCACTCTTTATCAGAATCATGTCATTACGTTCTTACAAAACCCTCAGAAGTACACCTGTTATCTCAGCTTCACGCACGAGGAGATGGGGTCTGGACAATTGAAGTAATTCGCCACAGGTCACGGGGTTTGACAGGTGCAGGCTGGGGACTGGGACTTGGGTCAGCCTGCCTTTGGGGTTACCCTGTTCTGGGATCAGAGTTGCCTGAACAGAGCCCAGCCTGCCACTTTCCAGGAGGCACATGGCTGGGGGTCAAGGGCAATGCATATGCACCTTGGAGTTCACCTGACTCCACAGAGGGGAACATTCAAATGAGATGCAAATACATCCAACAGCAGGGACAGGGACTCTTGGGGGCTGTCTCTGCAGCAGGAGAGGCGCCTGGTGCTGGGGCCTTGTCCTCGGAAGGAAGGGACGACTAGTGCAGAGTGCTGCCTGCTGCCGCCCTCTGCCTGCCGCCGAGCCTCGGGAGGCCAGCTGCTGCTCCCCTGCCCCCGCCAGTCCTCGGGCTCCGCAGTAAGGAGCCCTCCACAGGAGGCTGAGCCACTGTCTGTCTGGAGCCCGCCTTGCAGCAGGACGGTCAGGACAGGCCCAGGCCCAGGGCTGCAGGGACTGAAGTGCCCCGCCAAGGAGGAAGCCAGTTAAACATTACCCCAACGGCCCCCCACAAAGTGAGTCAGACTCCCCGCAGGGCGCTGGGCGGGCCGGCTTCGTTCCAGGTGGGTGACCAAGCTGCCCAAGCCTGGGACAGGTCGCCAGAGCCGGAGCGGACGGCAGCCTCCTCTCCTGACCCCAGCGGCTCTCTCCTCACAGTTCCCAAAGGCGGCCAGCGTGGGCCCTTCACTGGAGATGAGGGGCGGGCCTCCTCCCCCTGGAGACACACTCCTAAGCCGCCCGGGAGTTCCCTGAGGCCACAGCTGAGCAGCGGGAGCCTCCATCAGCCCTCGGCTCTGGTACACAGGGCTGCAGACAGCATCCGGAGACCAGAGAGGGAGGGTGGCTCGCTCAAGGTCACAGCCTAACCGGGAGGACTGAAACACAGGTCCCCGGATTCCCCATCTGCTGAGAAGCTGGATGTGGGCAGAGCTTTGGTCTCCCAGCCAGAGGCAGGGGCCTGGAGGCCTGAGCAGGTGTCCACCGATGGCCCCGGCTCAGCACCCACCTGGCTGCACTGGTGGGCACAGGCCGGGTGAGCCCGCCCTGGGTCCTAGGCTCAGGAGGACGGCTGGGGGAGGTGTGTGTGTTTCCATTGGAAGGAGCGAGCCTGGTGAGTGTGTGCCCGTGTGCATGGGCCTGTAAGTGCACAGGGCGGTGGCCTGCCTGCCAGTGAGTCTGAGGGACATCCATGTGTCCCTCGTCACAGAACCTTCCAGATGCAGCTCTCCTGATCAAATCTCTGTGATCCAATTCTCTGCCACTCCACTGCCTGCTCAGGAAGTCAGGGCCCCTGCGGTCAAGTCTCCACAAAGCTGCGTGTGTTCAGTGGAAGGATTCTCCTTTACTCAAGTATGCATGCCTTAATTTTATGGTTTTAGTATTAAAATATCCTTTGCTTATGGGGTGGGAGGACAGGAGGTGGTAATTGCTTTTTAACGTTTTTACTTCTCAAACCAAAACAGTGACAACACCATTTGTGTATTCACATTAAAAAATATATTATGAATTTGTAAAAAGTCAGACTCTTTAGGGTATGGTCTGACCACCTCACAGTGGGAATAGGACTGACACAGCAGGGTGACTTCCAGGCCTGCTGGCCTGGGGCTGGGGGTCCCCTGTCTCCACTCTGGGCTCTCTGGGGAGAAAAGCTGCCCTGTGCAGTGCAGACAGGGCATAGGGGCCGGGGATCCCAGAGCCCACACTGTTCTGGGGAGGGGAGGGGGAGCTCCTTCCTCCCACCGACTGGGGAGTCTTGAAAACTGCTGTCCTTCACCGGGTTTCGTGGTGCGATAAACCCTGTGTCTGCGGATCCTCCCCAGAGGAAGTGACCGGCACGTGATCATAATTTTTAACGTACGTGCATGTTAAAGAATCACGTGATGAACTCTCCTATGTGGCCACTCACTTGAAGAAGTCAGGTGTTGCCGCTCAATACCTTGCGATGCGCTTACGGTGGAAAATGAGACACGACTGAGTCAGTTTGCTGTACGCCTGAAACTCACACGACATGTGAATCCCCTTCGCTCCAACAGCAGCAAAGAACGAGGGCATCGCAAGCGCCTTTGAAGCCCCTGTGTGCCCCCCCAGCCGCAACCCTTGTCCCCACAAAGGTGAACACGGCCGACTGTCAGTTTTATGTGTTTTACTCCCCTGGTTCCCTAGGTGATGTCACTACGTGTTTGTCGCCCCTGAAACGACACATTGCTCACTTTGGCACCTTCCTGTCGCCCGGGTGTACATGTACACTTCCTGCTTTTTTCTGTTTGTTCGGTCGATGCCAAGGTTGTAAAATTCATTTATCTTCTCTGCTGTGGAAGAACGAAATGATGGAAACGCGAGCACTGACTCACCCATCTTCCTGTGGGTGGACACGTGGGTGTCTCCCCGAGTTTCGCTCCTGGAACCAGGGCTGCCCTGAATCCTCCCGAGCTCCCTGCTGCCCGCGGTCAAGGGCTTCTCCCCCAGCGAGTGCCGCACACTCTTACCCGCAACTCACCTGCCGGGAGGCTGATGTCCCTGGTCCTGGAGGACGAGGGTCCTGGGTGCTGAGGGCCCCTGGCTCCGCCTCCCGTGTGACACCAGAGGGGCTCCCAGGCTGTTCGCGTTCCCCATTTTCCTTCCCAAAGCAAGTTATTGTGATTCTCCGAACCTACTACACCAAGTGCTGAGGAGACACCGAGGTGAACAAGACAGCCCTCCTCTCCTCAGGACGTTCGGGGAGGCAGGACGTGGGCTCAGACGCTCTGAACACTGGCCCTGCCCCCGTGAGCCACCCCTTCTCCCACCGCCCTGTACGCACCCTTGGGCAACACAGGCAAGCTGTCTCCTGAGCTCCCGCCCCCAGCGTCTGGCCACCTGCTGGACGGCCCACCACTGCCGTCTTCAGGGCCCCCTTGTTCTAACAGGTGGAGGCCAGAGATGCTGCTGCCACCTCACAGTGTGCGGACAGCCACACGGCAAGACCATCAGGCCCCAGAAGTCAAAAACGCTTGAGGCTGAGACCCTTGCCTTACCCCCGCACCCGTCCCATCACGGACCTGCCTTCGCCGGCCCCTCAAGGTAGCGAGTGGGAGTCACCCTGCTGGCTCCTCCTTCGCCCTCAGCGGTCAGTTCAATGGCCATGCAGCCTACCAGCGCCCCTGCCAACGCCTCCTCACCTCCTGGTGGGTGGCGCTCCAGCCTCTTCTTTCTTTCATGGACTTGACGGTAGCCCCTCGGTGGCCTCCCCCTCCAGCTGGACCCTTGTCCCACTGCGGCCGGGGCTGTCTCTCAAAATCCCGTGGGCCTTCCCACTCCAAGGCCGTTTGCCTTCTCAGTTTCCTCAACTCCCTCCTACTCGGCAGGGTAAAGGCCAGCCCCCAGCAAAGCGCAGCCCACGGCCCCCTGTCCTGCCGGCCTGGGAGGCATGCGGGGCTCCAGGCACAGGAGTCCTCTCTCTGGGCAGAAGTGCCCAGATGTCCTTTCCTCTGGAAGCCGCCCCATCCCTCCATTAGACTCAGTCCCTCCTGATGACACAGTGTCGGTGCTGAGTGGGGCTGGGTGTGTGCATGCTCAGGAGGGCGCGTGTGCACGCCTGCTCATGCAGACATGTGTGAGCTTGTGCACCGGCACACATCCGTCCCTGCTGCCAGAGAGGGGCTGTCGTGAGGCCGGGAACCGAGCCCTCAGCATCTCTGCGTCACTGAAAGCCAAGGCTCTTTGCTGATTGCAGTGGGTAGGACTACATTCCTTTCAATATACGTTCAACTCCTGACCCCTGCTACCTGTGAAGGTGACCGTACCGGGAAATGGGGTCTTTGCAGATGTAAGCAAGTTTAAATGCGGTCACACTGGATTCAGGTGGGCTCTGATGCAAGGACTGATGTAAGAAGAGAGCAGTCTGGACACAGGCACAGAGACACAGGGAGGGGTCCACGTGATGCTGATGGCAGACACTGGGCCACACAGAGGCCACTG